GTCATCCAGCTGAGACGCAACTCCCCAGGAATGGGCAGGGCAGGCACCCCAGTTTTAACCGTGCAAAGGGCGGTACTTGGCCCTCACAGCAACCGGGGGGTCAGAGGAGAATTGAGGCGCGCCCCCCCCTCCGCGCGCCCTAACTTATAGATAGCTCGGGTTGGGAGGAGGGAGCGGGTGCAGGACGCAGGCCGACTCTCTCTGGGGGGAAAGGCTGCCTGCCCTGACCCACAGCGGGAGGGTTTCTCCCTTCATCCCTCGCTACCAATTAAAGGACCTGGAGTGGGGTGTGTCCGCCCCCCCGGTCCCCGGGTCTGGAGCCTGCGGAGGGAGGGAAGGAGGGAGGGAGAGGGCGTCAAGGCGCCTGCTGCCCTCTGCAGGCGGGAGCGGGGCGAGACAGGGGCGGCGGTGCTGGGGCTGGAGAAACGCTCCGGAGCAGGAGGTCCGGGAGACACGGAGACCTTGCACACGTACACACACACACACGGCCCCCGTGAGAGAGAGCAGGCGGGACGGGCGGCCGTCCGAGGTCGCATCCCAGCCCCTGCCGCGAAGGAGAGCCCCCCCCCTCCGCAATGCCGTCCCCCCCAGGCGGTCCCTTGCACTGTCGAGCCTCAGGGAGGGCCAAGGAAGTTCGGCACCCCCTTCCTGGAGGCTCCTGATGGTTTCCTCCCACTCTCCTTCAACTATGAAGCACACACGGAACCCCGAACATCCTCGGCAGAAGGGTGGACTTTTGGGAGTCCTTATCTACATGTCTTGGAAGATTTCCACCCCACCTCCCCCCCACACACACACACACACCTCAAGGAAGTGCAGGGAAGGCTGCTGGCAGTCGAGGTGGCCATAGCTGGGGAAGGGGCTCCTTGTTCTCTGGGGGAGGATGTCCTCTGGAAAAGGGAGGAAGCAGAGCATCTGCCCTGAGGGTCAGCACCAACCCTGGGGCTGGAGAAGCACCTGGAAGGGTGAGCCAGGCCAGAAAGGCAGGGGCTCCCTGGGCCCAAGCAGCGCCCCCCCCCCAGGAGAAGCAGCAGCAGTTTTCACCTCTGGAAGAAGAAAATGCGGCTACTTCCTTGGCTGGTGACAGAATCCAGACTCTGATTTTAAAAATGCCGCTCTTCCCCACCCCCTGGTTTCTGGTCCATCTCCTCGCTCCCTTCCCTGCCCTGCTGCCCACAGCAAGACCGCGTCCTCCTCAGCTGGAGGCGGAAGGAAGGGACAGGCCACGCGCTTGGGAAGAGATGCACGGCCTGGGTCCTCTTTTCCTCGCTCCCTCCAGGTGTGCCTTTCCCCTTGCCCCTCCTCGGAGCCCTTCTGTCTTGAGGGACCGGCCGGACATGATGAGGTTGGGAGAAGCCCACGGAAAGGCTTTGCCTGAGCAAAGACGGGCTCTCTCGGAGCAGGGGGGGGGGCTCTGTTCGTGCCCAAAGGGGACTTTCCTTCCTCGCCACCTCGGCTGGGTGATCCCAAGGAAGTGGCTCTTCCTCAGAAGGAGGACAGCAAAGCCTAGGCAGGAAAAATACAGCAGGGGGGGGGATCAGGGCCAGAGGATGGAGCAGACAGGTCTCCCACTCTCTCCGGAGGCCTTCTGCAGCTGACCCATCCAAGGGCTCCCCATTGGACAGTGGAAAGTGGGGGGCCTCCATTCACAGCAGGAAGCAGGGCTTTTTGGGTTTGGCTGGGGCCGGGTTGAGGACAGCTCGGACGGCCTCCGTGAAGACGTCCTTGATCCCCTCCTGGCTGAGGGCCGAGCACTCCATGTACTTGACCGCGTGGATCTGTTTGGAGAGGGCAACGCCTTGCTGGGTTGTCACAGGCTGCTGGTTCTGCTCCTTGAGCTTCTTCAGGGCCTCTGGGTTGTTTCTTAGGTCCTTCTTGGTGCCCACCAAGAGGATGGGCACATCCGGGCAGTGGTGGCAGACCTCAGGGTACCACTTGTGTTTCACATTCTCGTAAGAGCATGGGCTGGTGATGGAGAAGCAGATGATGAAGACGTTGGTCTGGGGGTATGAGAGCGTCCGCAGGCGGTCATACTCCTCCTGCCCCGCAGTGTCCCACAAGTTCAGATTCACAGTCCTGCCATCCACCGTGTTCTGGGCGCTGTAGTTGTCGAAGACGGTGGGGATGTACTCGTTGGGAAAGGCGTTGGTGGTGTAGGAGATCAGGAGGCAGGTCTTGCCCACCGCCCCGTCGCCCACCACCACACACTTGATGCTCTGCATCTTGGCGTCCACCAAGCAGGAGGGGGAGATAACGTTTCCTCGATGCAGTTTCAATAAACTAGAAAGCAGGGGAGAGAAAGAAGGAAAAAGAGAAAGAGAAAAAAAAGGTCAGGCTGCGAAACCGATGGAGACCGCTGGGCCACGGGTGCAACGTGGTCCATGCTGAGCCACAACAGGCCCTCCGTTTCATCCCAAGCTGGCTGAACAGAAACAGAAACCATGACGTCTCTAAAAATCATCCGAGGGCTTGTCTGGGGCTGTTTGGAACAGCCCTCTCTGATTTTGAAACTTAGCAGTCAGGCCTAGTTAAGTATTTATTTCTTTATTACATTTATACCCTGCTTTCCTACCCAAACAGAGTGCTCAAGGCGGTTTGCAAATTAATGGAAGGAAGATAAACAGGTAAAACCAAATTCAATGAAGAAATCATGAAAGTAAAGCAAACCACTGGCACCATAAATTTTATTTATTTATTTATTTATTTATTTATTTATTTATTTATTTATTTATTTATTTATACCCCGCCTATCTGGACTACTTGTCCACTCTAGGTGGCTTCCAATATGAGGTAAAACAATAAAACACAAAGATATACATAATCCTTCAATGACAACTGTGATGAGATGGGTTTTTGAGTTAAAGTCTTGTAAGGAATATGGGGTTTTGTAACTGAGAAATGAGCAAGAGAGGTTCCATCTTGTTTCTTTGTATAAAGTATCTTTGCTATGCTCGACAGACCTCAGGGTACCACTTGTCTTTCATGTTCTTGTAAGACTTTGACCTGGCGATGGAGAAGCAGATGATGAAGATGTTGGTCTGGGGATATGGGAGGGGCCGCAGGAAGTCATAGTCCTCCTGTCCCGCAGTGTCCCACAAGGTCAAATTAACAGTCTTGCCATCCACCGTCTTCTCGGCGCTGTAGTGGTCAAGGACAGTTGGTATAAATTCGGTGGAAAAGGTGTTGGTGGTGTAGGACATAAGGAGGGAGGTCTTGCCCACTGCCCCGTCACCCACCACCACACACTTGATGGTCTGCGTCTCAACCACCACCAAGCAGGAGGGGAAGATTTTCGGGTTTCCTCCTTGCAGTTTCAATAAACTACAAAGCAGGGGAGAGAAAGAAGAAAGAAGAGTTAAAAGGGAAAGGCTGAGGGGCTGCTGGGCCCCTCCCTGCTGCAATGTGGTCCACACTCATCCACTTTCCCAGTAAAATACTGTGCTCAAGGCGATTTACAAATTTATTAAGGGAAAATAAACAGGTTATATTAAATTTGATAAAGGGTGTGTAGCGATTACCCTGCTTTGGCTCAGGTAGAAGATTATTGGCATGTACCAAGGAGAGCGGTCGGAGGTGGAGGCAGAGAAACTAGAAGGGAGGGGGGAGTCCGAGTCTGGTCAGTTCAGTCAGAGGGAGACAGAGAGGAGAGAAAGCATTTGGGGTGGGGGGTTGAAACAGAGAGAGAGAGAGGGTTTAAGGTGTGACTCGTCAGAGTGGCACCGGTATAAATTAAGAGAGGAGAGGGTAAGGTGAAGTGCTGAAGCTTGGTGTAACTTTAAGAATGTGCTTAAGAGCTATTCCTAAAACAACTTGCAATAAATCATCCTGTTTCTGTTTAAAAGTTCAGTCCTGAACGGACCTCCGCCTTTCGTAGGAAATATAGGTCGATCAAGAGCTCAACGGGTCGGCCAGCGTGTGTTGAAGGGCGTGCTGGGATACTGGGGTGAGCTCTGGGTTGGGTGAAACCAGCAGGGGCTGCGGGGGGGGGGCGAACGCCCCAGGGTGTTTAAAACCACAGAAGACTCTGCAGGTCTCAAGCAGTGGCATAGCCTGTGCTCCCCCCACAGGGGCAGTCGCCCCGGGTGCAAAATGTTTACAGGGTGCCAAGAAGTCCAAGCCTCTGCAGCCAGAGTCTGCTGGGTGGCCATCGCACCCGTCGTCTGCGAGGGGAACCCGTAACTTGGACCCCATTGTCTAAGTTGCATTTTCGAAGTCCTGTGGGCTCACCCCTGGCCTCACCGGCTTGCCATCCCAACCACCCATTGCAAAGGCTGCAGGCCTCACTCTGGCAACAGCAGGCCTGCTCAGTGCAGCAGCAGCAGGAGCAGGTATGGGGTTCTCAGAGGGGCTGGGGAGGCTCCTGCGAGGGGAACCCGTAACTTGGACCCCATTGTCTAAGTTGCATTTTCGAAGTCCTGTGGGCTCACCCCTGGCCTCACCGGCTTGCCATCCCAACCACCCATTGCAAAGGCTGCAGGCCTCACTCTGGCAACAGCAGGCCTGCTCAGTGCAGCAGCAGCAGGAGCAGGTATGGGGTTCTCAGAGGGGCTGGGGAGGCTCGGCTCTT